GTTGTTGTTGTTATCGTTGTTGTTTTACGTCGCATGGAGCAATATCGCAGCCCTACATCATGTTATTGTCGAACTGAAACTATATTTCTTACAATAACGATTGTTTGTTTTCAAACAGATCTGATGAGCTGAAACGGCCAAGGTCAGCCTGCTAGCTGTACATTTGGACGCATTAAGTATAGCATGAACAAAATTGTTAAAGTCATCCATTTCAGTAAAGCCGTAATATAGGTAATGTATAAAGTTGAGGATCCTGTCATCAGCTACGGGAGACAACTATGTACATCGATTACTGGGTACCACATGACCTATGGTCACGATGAGATCTGCGACAATTAGACTCCCTGATATAACAGCTATAAACGCTAGGTGTGTCGTAACTGAGTCTAGGGTCCCACCTCTTTCATGGATTAAATGCTAACTGGGTCGCAAGGGAACCTTCAACAGATGCCTAACGCACTGCCGTTCTGTGACTCAATTGTGAGTTCAAACATAGTACCCTGCTCTTCGGACCCGTCACGAGTTGACGATGGATGTCCCAAAGGTTTCCAGCCTTACCATGAACGGATCGCACGAACTCACCAAAACAGTATCTCCGCATGTGCTTGACATGCAAAACATCAATTCCTATAATGTGCTATATATAACTGTCAAACAGCATGACCCTATCATTCCCTCTCAAGATGGAGAGAACCGAATGCAGGGCTGTTATGAAGTATTTTCATTTTAAAAAGTGTAAGCCCAGGCCAATTGATGATGACATGACGCAAACATTAGGTGACAATGCTGTATATAGTACGGTCAAACAGTGGTGTGTTGAATTTACAAGGGGCAGGCGCAACACCGAAGACGAACAAGGGTCTCGTCGCCCTCGTGAAGTGACAACCAAAGATAAAATTGATGCTGTTCTCGACGCAATAATGTAGGACTGGCGAGTAACTCTTAGACAATTAGCTACTTCACATGACACTAGCAAAACTTCAGTGGAATGAAAAAATATATATATATATATAGATAGATAGATAGATAGATAGATAGATAGATAGATAGATAGATAGATAGATTGATATAGATATAGATATATATATATAGATACATGTATATAAAGATTTATAGATATATGTTTATATGTATGTATGTATGTATATATATGTGTGTGTGTGTGTGTGTGTGTGTGTGTGTGTGTGTGTGTGTGTGTGTGTGTGTGTGTGAGAGATTCTCATAACACTGCGCTGAGTTATGTTCCCTCTTGCATTATTTGAATGGACAGTTGTTGTGTTTGGAATACATCAGGTTCCTTTATATCAATACATACCGATACATTCTGTGCATGAAAAGTGACTGCTTACTTGTATAAATTATGAAACAATTATTGTGTCATGAACTTGTAAACATCATTATTTTCCAGTTGTCAATTTTCTTGTCAATGTCAATAGCCAGCTGGGATGGTATTAGGATGTTGAAGAAAACACCTGCAGATCTGACATAATTATGTTAACCCATGTATATGGTTAAAGTTAAAACTGAAATATGAAGTCATCCCAGCAGCATTGATGAAATTGTCAATGTTCAAATCCTCAACTTTCCCTGATAATTATCCACTGTGTGTCTGAACCATATCATTGACTGAAGAAGACATGTCAAAACCGCATCACTACACTGTACGCCTAAACACACGTGTCCCACCATCTGAACATATCTTGAGGCCTTAACTTGTTAGATTTTGATATCTGACACTGTCTTTTTATGAATATGATACTTTACCAGGTTTAGAGTGAGTGAGTATGATTTTACGCCGCTTTTAGCAATATTCCAGCAATATCACGGCGGAAGACACCAGAAATGGGTTTCACACATTGTACCCAAGTGGGGAATCGAACCCGGGTCTTCGGCGTGACGAGCGAACGCTTTAACCACTAGACTACCCAACCGCCCCTAATAGGTTTAGAAATGTCTGTTTTGTTACATAAACTCCTGTTATTATGATGTGACTTTTATAACTCGTCAAGTTCACCTAGGCCGCGATAGATGTTATGTTACCCCAGTTACTCATTAGCTGCACGGGCCGTGGGGTAGCCTGGTGGTTAAAGCATTCACTCGTCACGCCGAAGATCCGGGTTCGATTTCCCACATGGGCACAATGTATAAAGCATAATTTTGATGGACCTGATATTGATGGAATATTGCCGAATGCGGAGTAAAACTAAGCTCACTTACTCACTAGCACTTGATTTTAGTTCTCCGCTCCCTGGGGAGAGTATCACCCAAGCAGCTTGTGCGGCACTAGAAGGTCAACAGTCACATTCCATCTCCTTGAGGTAGTGAGTGAGTGATTATTATCAAAAACCGTTTTTAGCAATATTTCAGCAATATCACGGCAGGTGACACCAGAAATTGGCTTCACACATTGTACCCATTCGATAGTTCTCTCTACTGCGGTTGATCACCCGGTAGTTCCAATAAACATCGATCATGACCAAGTAGTTCTCCCCTTTGTTCACCAAACAAGCAGTTCCACGAACTGCCGATCATCACACAGTAGTCCCCCCAACACACACACACACACACACACACATACACCGTCAATCAACATCAAGTACGTTCTACCAACCAACGATCCTCACCCAGTTGTTCCTCCCCTACACTACCGATCATCAGCCAGTAGTTCTCCCCACTCTTGATCATGCCCTTGTAGGTCTTCCAAGAGGCAATAACCAACCATCAGTTCCGCCAACTGTCGATCGTCACCCACTGCTCATCATCATCCAGGAGTCCCCACCAAAAGAGAGAGAGAGAGAGAGACAGAGAGAGAGCGAGAGAGAGAGCGAGAGGAGAGAGAGAGAGAGAGAGATTCACCAACCGTTGATCATCACCCAGTTGTTCCTCCCACTATCGATCATCACCCATTAGTTGCCCTGGTATCGATCATCATCCAGCAGTTTCACCTACTGGTCCATCATCACCCAGTAATCAACACCACCACCACTTAAACACTGTCAATTATCACAGTTGTTACCCCCACTGTCTATAATCACACTGCAGTTGTCCCCACTGTTGATCATCACTCCCTAAATTCGATCAGGATCAGTTCCAGCAACTGTCGCTCGTTACCCAGCAGTTTCACCAACTGTCACCAGCACCCAGTAATTCAGTAAGGTTGTTCCCCCTACTGTTGATCATCACCCAGCCGTCCCTCCAACCGTCATCACCCAGTAGTTCTCCCCACTGTGAATCATCATCCAGCATTTCCATCAACCGTAAATCATCACCCAATAGTTCCAATCAACCATCGATCATCCCCCAGCAGTTGAATCATCCACTGTTGATCATCATCCAGCAGATCCACCAATTGCCGATCATAACCCTGTATTTCCATCACTCGTCGATCATTAGCCACTAGTTCTCCCCACTTTCTATCATCATCCAGCAGTTCCACCGAGCGTCGATCATCACCCATTAGTTCCACGAACCGTCAACCAGTTGTTCTCCCCAACGTTCGATCAACATCCAGTACTTAAAAAAACTGTCGATCATCACCCAGTAGTAGCCCTACACACACGGTCAGTCAACAGATGATCGACAGTGGAGGGAACTATTGGGTGATGATTGACGGTTGTTAGGTTGTTAGGTGATGGTCAATCGACACTGGGGAGAGCTACTGGATGATGGAACTACTGGGTGGTGATTGACGATTTCATTAAGGAAATCAAATATGGTCGTCTTTCTTGAAATCTTTTGTTTTCTAAATGTCGTGTTGCATTTACCTAATATCATAACCTTAACACTGGAAAAACCAAAATCTTTATCACTAAATCATATCTATGAGAGTAGGCAACATTTACAGATGTTATGTTGGTTAACCATGTAAACTGTGTGGTGTTCACGGTTGTATTTTTTTCCTGTAAAACAGAAATACAGACACATACTCATACATACAGACACATACATATGCACACACAAACGCACACACATACATACATGCACACACACATGTACAGACAGGCATGTACGCACTACACACAAATACACACACACATTACATTCTCATTATTATGAAAATGAAAAACGTAGATGAAACTCATTCTGTTCATTTCCTTCTATATAAAATTTATGAGACGATATTAAGTTGTATATACGCAAGTCATTTGTCACACATATATCCGTTTTAATCCATGCTGAGTCCTTAAAATCGACTAAGCACTGTAGTCTCTCAAAAGTGAAGAAAGGCAAAAGGGCACTTGACTGTGATCGAAACCCATGACTGACTGTTTGAACCATGCTCACCAAGGTATAATCACAATCAACCGTTAACCAAAGTCACCTCATTCTGACGCATGGCCTATTTTGGTTGAACCAAGTTCTGTATACTGACTGAATCCCTGGTGTGACATACTCCAGCTGGCAGCCTCGAAGTGATGTCATGAAAAGCTGATTCCGTCAGGAAGCACATTTTCATCATGAATAGTATTGTTCTTAACCTGGTACGGATAGTATATTCTTTCTCGTGCATGCATGTCATGACGAAGACCCGGCTTCAATTCCCCACACTCACTCACTCAAGAATACTCATTAAAGACATGTGTACATAGTTGTTGTGTTTAACCTTATCCAAGTTATGTCAGTTTGGATTGTATGCGGTGAATTGCCACAAGTTAACCCAAACTACCACTGGAGAACTATAATCAATCTTCCACCTTGCTATGTATACATAACACTAAAACAACAATCAGTTGATCAGTTGAACTGTTCACTGGCTAAGAGCATCAGACAGTGAAAATATTTTTCCACATTCAACACACGATAACAAGGGGTTCCACGGTTAATGCTTATATGTATTAGATATACATTCTTTCCTATAACCCTCTCTGCAGACTACTTGAATGAGTAAATTTTCCCCACATTCAACATTTATGAAGCTTGATTTCCACTGTGAATTCTCAAGTGTGTCCGCATATGACCTGATTGAGTAAATGTTTTCGGACATTCAACACACTGACAAGGCTTGATTCCACTGTGAATCCTCATGTGTGTCTGCAGAATACTTGAATGTGTAAATGTTTTCACACATTCAACACATTCTTACGGTTTGATTCCACTGTGAATCTTCATGTGTTTCTGAAGACTACCTGATATTGAAAACTTTAACTATAAATTGTATATTTATAATACTTATCCTTTCTCACGGTTTGTACTCTCTCGCTCATGATTGACAGCTGAATGTAAACGAGCTGTTAACACACTTTTCTGCCTCTCCTGTACCATTCGCCCGAACATGCTCCACTGCTCACAGTCCCTGTAAAGCATGCAGCATGCCCTCCGGCTGATCATGCGACATGTTAGTCTGATCATTCTCTTCATGGATCATTTGTCATAGTCTGTAAGATAAAGTAATGTTTAGTGGGGTAGATTGGGCGGGAATCTACCCGTGAGATAGGATAATATTATAAATATACAACTTATAGTAAACAAATTTATTTCTTTTTGAACTTATCCTATCTCACGGTTTGCACTTATCCTACAGGTGGACGCAGATTACCCAATCTCTTCAGTGTATGTTGACGGGTCGTGTGAAGTGGTGATGGTACACAAAGAGGCAATCTTTGATTGACTTTAGAACTTCTATGCTTGTGATGGGTTGCTTCTTCCAAACCCCTTAGCACACTTGCCACGAAAAACTCCCGGGAAGTGGGCGCTCCAAAGTAAATGTGGTTTTGCCGCCAATCCAAAAGGATAGAGCTTATGCCCTGTACATACCAGAAACCCCCTCAGAACAGATTCTTGCCACCCTAATCTCAGCTGACCCCCTCTTTCGAAGCCATGCCCCAGTCCATGCCTCGAAGTTGAAAAGTAAACATGGCCCGGTACGCTCAACTAGTTTAATATCCAGTTCAGAACGACATCAAATAACCTCCACATAAACTTAGTCAAGGATGTGTCCGGCAACCTAAGAGTTGGGACACATCGGAATCCACTGGAATTCGGTATTCACACTTCACATTGCTTGCAGCTACGTAGCACAAGTACAGTCTCTCAAGCAATCCATGAAGACCACAAAGCCCCAGTTCACATCTGGGTGCGGAAGACCAATGCCCAAAAGCGGAATTTAAACAAAGATAAGGAATGGAGTTCTAACCAATTTCATACACTTATTTACAATGTAGCATGAACTTTGCGATTGAAGCACGTCACTTTAACGTTGATGACAGGCCGATCACAATTGCTGCGCCAGACTGATATAGACCCAGTACGTCCATCACTAAGAAATCATATACACAGTGGGAGGCGAGGACTGTTTCAGACCTCCAAGGGCAGCCTTCCATAATGGAGATGAAAGAGCAGTTACTGTGTAGCGCCATTGTGGACGCTCTCGCATCTCATGTGGGTTTGATGCCGCTGGGGGAGGGAGACAGGCAAAGTCGTATGCCTGTAGGGTGATCGACCTCATCCAAAAAGGCTAAAGTCGTACGGCAGAAGTGACCGTAGACAGAGGGATGAAGTGACCGTAGACAGCGGGATAAAGAGCTGCTTATGCAGCCTATGCCGGTCTTGTAAAGCAGCAATGTAGAAGATCAGAGCTCTGGCTGGGCAAAGCAAAAGGTCCTCAGTGTCATCTGGCCCGAGTATGGTAGATAAATGGTGGGATGGTGAACAGCCGATCTGGTTGACCAGACCATTGATTCTTTGCAATGAAATCCCAGTGAAGACCCAAGAGAACCCATGTGTCCTCTTCTCAAATCGTATTTGGTTGACATCAAGAGCATGGAGCTCCGACGTACGAGCAGGCATGGCTAATGTCACCAGGAAGAACGTCTTGAAGGTGATGCGCTCAAAAGTTTGTTGAGCCAAACGGTTATAATCAAAGACAAGATGTTGTAAGAGGATTGACAAATCCCAAGCCAGGGGCGGAATTTCCTGGACTGATCTGCCAGATTGTAGGATCGCAATAAGGACTCGAGCTCAGGAACCATAGAAATCTTGGTACCAGTACTTGTAGCTATTACTGTATCAATCGCAGCGAGATAAGTACCCAGGGTGGATGCTTTTAGCCTCGTAGACAGCCGCAAATGTCGCAGGTATTCAGCAAGAGACTGCACTGAGGCTATAGTGAGAGGCTGAATGTTATGCGTCTTATGCAGTAAGCTTCGAATATTCTCCACTTACCGCTATACTGAGGTCAAGTGGAAGTACAATGGACGGAAGCGATGGCTGTGTGTTCGGCAAGACGTAACAAGTCGATGAACCAGCTGTGCGCCGGCCAGTAGCACGACAAGAAAGAGAATGATCAGACTAAGGTGTCACGTGATCAGCCGGAGGACATGCTGCATGCTTTACAGGGACTGTGGCTGTCCGGGAATGGGAGCAGTGGTGCCTGTTCGGACGAATGGTACAAGAGAGACTGAAAACTTCGTTTACGGTTCGTTCCCACTCAGCTGTCAATCATGAGAGAGAGAGTACAAACCGAAAGATAAGATACGATTTTAAAATTTGTTAAAAATTTCTCACATTCATAACATTCATAAAACTTGATTTTAACTGTGAATCCTCATGTGTCTGTGCAGATTACTTCATTCCCACATGCAACACATATATAAGACTTGATTCTGTTCATGCCCATTTACCGCTATAACATCATGACAGCTGACAAGACACACATACTTCCTTCTAGCCATGTTTATTTTCCAACCCACTTCCGGCAGATACAGTCTCGTGGCCTCTCGCAGGCTATCGCGCATGCATAATTATATCAACATAGTTTTTTTTGTCTAGTAAAACTATAGAAATGTCATTTCTTTATCTTAGGTCATAGTTAAAAGTTCAACTGCTTCTCCATGTGCTTTACCCTGGATAAAGTTAAGATTGTTTCACTAGATAGAAGCAGTCACGAGGCAGACTACCTTCATGCTTTTAGGGGATTATTCTTCCCCATGCACAAATCACATGATACGCATCACAGACACAGCTTTCCACTCCGAAGAATCTGGCACAACTTCACTCCTGACGGCCCGTTTAGTCAACACATCGGCGAGCTGCTTCTCCCCATGACACAAGGGCACATTCACATCTCCATTTACAAGTTCTTGTTTGATCACTGCCACGTCGATCCGCAACCTAATGTCATCTACCAACTTTGTTGACTGACCTTCCACTACATTCATGTTATCTGTGATGATGTCAATAGGAATATTCTGGTCTTTTCTGTCCATCATGAATAACTGCTCTCAAGAAAATACAATCTTCAACAAACTCCAACAGCGCAATGGTTTCAGCAGCAATCGTAGATCGAACCACTCTCTTTATTTTCTTAGCTTGCCATTATATAGGGCAACTATGATTGCTTTGATTCACGAGAAAGACTAAGTGTGCCCCAACACTACTTACACCGTCACTACAATTTCCTAAGGAAGCATCTGAGAATGCAACCAATCTCTAGTATTTACTGGGACCAAGATTTGGGAAACATAGTGTGGATGAACCATTTTGTAAATTCTTGATGACTTTGCTTGCTCGGGACAGTCAGCAATTTGTGGATTATTCAACGTTGTACTTAAGTCTATCATGTCAAACGCTACACCTGGTCTCGAACCTTGAACAGCCCAATTGATTCAACCCACCTCTGCTCGGAATTTGGTTTGTTCCACTGGCGTCAAAACTTCATTTTTCTTTAGGACCCAGGCAGGTGCAATGGTTTCATTGCCAATATCAGACACATAGTCTTCTTGGGACACTATAATTCCTTCGTTGTATTGCTTGATGTGAAAACCTACATATCTGAAAGCATTTCCTTCCACTTTATCAGCTTAGAAACTTTGCCTCAGTCTTCCCAAAACGTTTTCTTCAAACAGTGGACTACCAGCATGTAAGAAGTCATCAACATATGAAATAATTATCCCTTTCGAGTCACCTTTCTCTTTCATGCAGAATAAGGCTGGGTCATACTGTGATTGTGATTCAACTCTTCTACCACACTGAAGAAAACTGTCGTGGTGCATCACCCAGGCCATACAAACAGTGTTCAAGCTTCCATATGTTCCCTTCTGTCACATCTGCTTCTACGGGTGGCTGTAAGTACACATTTCTGTTCAGCTTCTTACCGTTAAGGAAAGCAGATTTGATGTCTGTTGTCTTGACTGACCAGCCTTTACTTTCAGCAATGACTTTTAACACAGTTTGGCTTACTGTTGGTATGTCTCTTTCCGTAAGGCCTTCTTCCTCGAAACCCCTAGCCACAAGATGAGCTTTAATCTTCCTATTTCCTTGATCACAGATGACCCATGGCGAATGGCGAGTGGGCGTCAGACTGTCCACGAATACCGTCCGAAAGTGGTTAAGAGCTGCAGGATTGCGTGCACGTAGACCAGTCAGACGTCCATTTCTCACTGACAGACACATGCAAGAACGCCTGGCGTGGTGCAGGTTAAGGCAAAACCACAATCTCCGATACTGGCGCAGAGTCCACTGGTCGGACGAAAGTCGTTACCTTTTCACTGACGGCCGCCACGTGTCTGGCGCCGCCGCCCGCAATGAAGCTTATAACCCGGAAATGATTGAACCAACGGTCCCCTTTGGCGGTGTGTCCTACGACTGCAAGCTGGACCTAATCACAGTACCGGGAACGTTAAACGGATAACGTTATCAACGTGACATCTTGGATGTTGCCGTAATACCCCATTTTGACAATCACACACTTTCCAGTCGTCCCCTGTTCATGGATGATAACGCCAGGCCTCATCGTGCCAGAGCAGTAGTCGATCATTTGAGGAACAATGCTATTGACACTATTCCATGGCCAGCCAAAAGCCTGGATCTTAATCCCATAGAGAATTTATGGGATTATCTTGGGCGCCAAGTGAGAGCCAGAGATCCTCCTGTGCAGAATATGGATGAACTGCAACAGGCTCTTCACGGGGAGTAGCAGAGAATCCCGATGCTTAGAATCAGACGTCTCATTTCAAGCATGAGAAGGCGTCTTGAAAATGTGATTCGTGTTAGAGGTGGATACTCCCGATACTGACTAAACAGTTTCTAGAGATAGCCATGATGACAACAAGCATATTTACGTTGAACGTTTGACATTGCAGATACCAGTATGGACTGGACAGTGATACTTTTCAGGCCTAATGAAATGGTAGTTTTGACGCTTATTCGCATAACTCCAATAAATTGGTATCAAAGATAATCATCGGCTTCGTTCTCTGTGTAGTGATAGTGCATGACATCCCTTCAGCAAGATCAATCCTCTTTATCTTGAGTCAGACAGGAAATTGCACTTTTCATGATTTGAATGTTGAACTTTTCTGAAAAAGTGGGTGGTGCTTAATTAACGTTTAGATGTATATATTAAAACCTGATGCTTGAGAAACACAATTACTACGTTTCAAGTATCAGTTTCAATCTTTCTTGGTCAAGTCAGAGGTTGTCCTCTCTGACGTCCGCCAAACTCCTATAAATTCCAAACCATTCTAGTTGGGGGCAGTTCCCACGGTGGACTCATACCAACTAGGACCTCTTGGAACGCTGGACACAGGAATATGTTGGTAAGTTCCTTGTATTCTTACCTTCAGTCTGGCGTTTCACTTGTTCATGTAGTCTTATAAGAATGTAAGGCTTCCCAAGAATTCAAAGGTTATTGTTATTTTGGTAGATTATAATTTGTTCATATCTACATGAACAATATCTATGTCAATATTAATCATCTTCATTCTATTTGAAGATTATTGAGGTACAGTCCTCAGATACATGAGGTCTTCAGTTCATTTTGTTACACACACACACACACACACACACACATATTATTTTATGTAAGTTCCCTGGTGCGGTCAGTATGGTACTTCTAGATGACCACATGTGGTTGAGCCAATGACCCTTAACCAAGGGTTGGTACCACTGCTAGCACTGTGACAGACAGTCCTGTTGCTTTACCTGCTCTTCCCATGATACCATGGTTGTGTTCCAATTGTCCTCATTGGTCTCCCTATGTTCTATGGAGTCACCTGACTTCAAAACAGTTCTTTTCACATTGTTTCTGTCCTGGTTTGCTGACAAATTTTCATCACCGTCTTTTTCTTCAACTGCACAAACTCCCTGACAACTTTGCTCTCCATATTCTGTATCTAGAATTTGTATCTTCTCATTTTCATCTTCTTTCATCTGTGTTACCTGCTCTCCAGCTCTACTAAGTCTGCTCAGTGACAAGCTTGTGTATACACTTCCATGTACAAAAACAACTCGCCCATCTTGAAACACAACCTTGCCTTCTCTCTTGTATTATACCCTGTCCCCATTTCTGTAAACCTCTTCTGCGGCTCTAATCTGGTGTCCGAGCACATGTCTGATTCTCTCAGAACATTCTGATTCAATGAAGGCCTTCCTTGAACTGTGTAAAGTATTCAGGTGCCTTGCAAAGATGTCACTTGTGGTCGTTTCATCCTAAGCTGGCAACTGATCAGACTTAACATTGGGAAGATTCAGGGTTTTTCCAAACACCAACTGGTATGAACTGTAGCCATGCCACATCTGCAGACTGTTTTTCGCCATGTTTGTCCAACACAACAAAATCTCAAGTGGTGTTTCTGGATAATGAGCTTCAAGTTTCAACAGTTTCATGTCACTCACTGCATGGACCCTTTCACAAAGACCATTTTGAAAAGGACTGTAAGCACCAGCTGTCAAAGTCCACGTTCAGCATGCTTGCTACCTCTCTCATCTCATCAGAATTGAATTCCCCACCATTGTCTGTGAGAATTGCTTCCATGACCACAAATGTTCCTATCCAGTATTTCAATAAACAGTTCAAAACGTCTCGGGTTGCTTTTATATGTATGAAGGCAGAGACTGTGAATCCCGACCAAATATCCACAATGAGAAGTATGTACAACTTGTTCCACTGTTTTAGGTACATGGAATCCTTCTCATTAAAACACCTTGCCATCGGTAAAGCTGCTACAGGTTTCACAGGTGTCGGAGCATATCGTTTGCATAGATCACGTTTCTCATAAATGTCTTCAAGCAAACCTTGAAACTTATCATCCCATATGGCGCATCCTTTAACAGATTTTCAACTTAGATTCACCTGGATGTGCAAACTGGTGATGAAGTTTGACTAAGGTCTTGTATTATTCATCTTCATTCAACTCTGCTATCTTGACTACATTCACATCTACCTCAGTCACATCTGAGTTTCCGAGAGGCAAACAGTAATGTCCAGATTAAATTTCATTTAATACCATTTTCTTGCCTAATACTTCAGCTGAATCATTTTCAAGATCAAGCTTTACACTGGCTTTTTTCATGGAATTCTTTGACCAAAGCAAAGGAATATCTGACATCACCACGTCTGTATTCATCTTCACATCAACACCTGCTATTGATATCGGTATTGTGTAAGAGCCGACTGATTTCAATTTCTCACCTCCACCAAACTTGAAAACCTTTTCCCCAGGCTGTGATTTCACTTGTTTCATCTGTTCTTATTCCAATGTCATTAGGTATGTCCATCCATTCCTGCCCACAAACAGTGCTCGAGCATGCAGAATCCAGTACTATGGCATGTTGTGCTTCTTTACTTAGAGTTCTCATATTGTCTTTCAAACCTCCTGTATACAACACAATGTTTACAAGTTCAACATCCTCTACCTCTTCTACCATCATTGCTGTCTTTTCAAACTTAAGTGGACAGTCACGAACTAAATGTCGATAGGAACCGCAAACAAACACCTAAGTGTGCGACCATCTCTTCCAGTCGTATTCATGTCCCTTTGATCCTTTCTCCTTCCTGTAAAGCACGCATTATTACCACCACGATTATATCCATGACTGTTTCTTGATAACCACTCCTTCCTCTTCCAAAGTTGAAATAATTTAGTCTTCTAGCTCCATGTGCAGTGTAGACCTCTTCAACTGAATCAACTGTGAATCCTCATGTGTCTCTGCAAATTACTTCATTGTGTAAATTTTTTCCCACATTCAACACATTCATAAGGCTTGATTCCACTGTGAATCCTCATGTGTCTTTGCAAATTACTTGATTGTGTAAATTTTTTCCCACATTCAACACATTCATAAGGCTTGATTCCACTGTGAATACTCATGTGTGTCTGCAAATTACTTGATGGTGTAAATTTTCCCCACATTCAACACATTCATAAGGCTTGATTCCACTGTGAATCCGCATGTGTGCCTGCAGAGCACTTGAATGTGTAAAATTTTTCTCACATACAACACATTCATAAGGCTTGATTCCACTGTGGATTCTCATGTGTTCCTGTAGACTTCTTGAATGTTTCAGTTTTTTCCCACATTCAACACATTCAACAGGCTTGATTCCACTGTGAATCTTCATGTGTTGCTGCAGATGACCTGATTGAGAACATTTTTTCCCGCATTCAACACATTCAAAAGGCTTGATTCCACTGTGAATCCTCATGTGTCCCTGCAGATGAGCCAAAGTGTAAATGTTTTCTCACACACAATGCATTGATGAGGTTTGATTCCACTGTGAATCATTATGTGTTTCTGAAGAATACTTGAATGTGTATATTTTTTCCCACATTCAACACATTCATAAGGCTTGATTCCACTGTGAATCCTCATGTGTGCCTGAAGTTCACATGATTGTGTAAATTTTTTCCCACATTCAACACATTCATAAGGCTTGATTCCACTGTGCATTCTCATGTGTCTGTGCAGATTACTTGAATGTGTAATTTTTTTCCCACATTCAACACATTCATAAGGCTTGATTCCACTGTGAATCTCCATGTGTTTCTGAAGTTGACTTGGTAGTGTAAATTTTTTCCCACATTCAACACATTCATAAGGTTGGTTTCCACTGTGAATTCCCATGTGTGCTTGCAGACTATCGGAGCGTGTAAATGTTTTCTCACACACAATGTATTGATGAGGTTTGCTGTGAATCGTCATGTGTTTGAAGATTACCAGAAAGTGTAATTTTTTTCCCACATTCAACACATTCATAAGGCTTGATTCCACTGTGAATACGCATGTGTGCCTGCAGAGCACTTGAATATGTAATTTTTTTCTCACATACAACACATTCATAAAGCTTGATTCTACTGTGGATTCTCATGTGTTCCTGTAGACTTCTTGAATGTTTCAGTTTTTTCCCACATTCAAAAGGCTTGATTCCACTGTGAATCCTCATGTGTCTCTGCAGATGAGCCAAAGTGTAAATGTTTTCTCACACACAATGCATTGATGAGGTTTGATTCCACTGTGAATCTTCATGTGTGCCTGCAGAGAACTTGACTGTGTAATTTTGTTCTCACAATCAACACATTCATAAGGTTTGATCCCACTGTGAATCTTCGTATGTGCCTTCAGACTACTTGATTGTGTGAACATTTTGCCACATTCAACACATTCATAAGACTTGATTCCACTGTGAATCTTCATGTGTGCCTGCAGATGAACTGATTGTGTAAATGTTTTCTCACACACAATGCACTTATGAGGCTTCATTCCACTGTGAGTCTTCATGTGTTTCTGAAGATTGTCTGAATGTATACAGAGCTTGTGCCTTTTAAGGTCACCCGATTTAGAAAATGTTTCCGAGCTCTCACAACATGTTTATGAGACTGCATTGTTGGACTACTATGGTTTTCAGGTTCACCAAACCATCTGTTTCCAGGGTTTCAATAACAGGTTCTTTCATAAGACCACCTATTTCAAGGTTCCAATAACGGGTTCTTTCTTGAGACCACTTATTTCAAGGTTCCAATGATGGGTTCTTTCATGAGATCACCTATTTCCAGGTTTCCAATAATGGGTTCTTTCTTGAGACCACCAGTTTCCGGGTGTCAATAAAACATATTCTTGTTAGATCTCCTGTTTTCAGCAAACCCCTTTTGCATTTGTTTCAGTGACAGAGAAAACATTCTGTGGATTGCTTCAACTTCCATCTTTACTCTGTGGATGTTATGGTGTTTACTGAAAACATAAGAAACACTGTCACACTCTTATAACATCTAGGGTAGGGGCCATACACAATATGATGGCATGACACGTTGCATGATATCAAACCTGATACTATAAAAATGTGTTCCCACACATAACACACTATATACAACTTAGCGGAGTGATTTTCAATATTCAGTGTGGAAAATGCCAATGACGGGACATATATTTATTCTCTCTAAAACCTCACAATGAATTGCATTCAGCTGATTAATATCTATAAGTTTACCGATTTTACATATTTAAAGGCTATGACTAGTTTATCATATTATCAAAACAAAAAACTAAATAGATGTCTTGCAAAGCGGTGTGCAGCCAGATGATATACTCCATTGTGTAAAATTGGTTAAAAGCAATGAATACACGGATCATTATTCCATTTAGACCCAATATTGTCATCAGTATTGTCATTTGTATGGATATGCAAAAATGTTGTGCTATGAAATTCTCTCATATCATTCAAGACGTGTACTAGGTATTACCACTTTTCATACAATCCGCATTGCAATAATTTTTCTGAGAACCGGGGTATTCAAATGGGTTAAGAACATATATTATTATGATTGTCCTTATGGTTTACATTAAAATCTACACAGACCTTCATTCACAACGAATGTTTTCCTTCGTTTTACAAAGTAACATTCATTATATATGGGACTACAATTTCCTAGTATAAAGTACAGATTCTATAGTACTGTCGGAAAAAACTGGATTTTCACATTTATCTCTACAATTTATGTAGTTGATATGAGAAAGTGTGAAATATCTGTGAAACTAAGTTCGGCATAACTACAGTCTCAGTGGTAGAGAGATGGGAAACGGAGAAAAAGGACTTTACTGAGGGGAAATTAGTGCAGAAATGAGCAATGCGGTTTCTTTCTAAGTCCAAAAAGACTTACTTGGAACAGACCATGGCTTTATGCAAATTAGTGTGCGACGATATTGTATTACAAAGGACACTTTTTAAATGCCCAATTTGAAATTAGACGTCGATTCATTATAAACGATAAAATAATAACTTTTATGCCAAAACTATACTAAACAGCAAAAGTAACGCAAGTCTGTCTTTTTGTCAATTTTTTTAATAGAAGACAACCAAAATCATGTCTATTCATTTATTCTATAGAAATCACTGTCAATTTAACAGTTGAAAGTTGCTGTTGACATTGAATTGCAATAAGTTCAAATTGATCACAGTCCGTCAAATGGAGATACCCCTGAACGCGAAAAGTGGCAGTCTCTTAAGTAGCGCGTATAGCCACCTTGAGCTTGCACACAGGTCATGCAACGTGGCCTCGTTGAGTTCACTAGAGTCTGAAAGACTCCCTGAGGCAACTGGTTCCGCTCAAATACCAATCGCCGCCATATAGCTGGAATATTGCTGAGTGCGGCATAAAACTCAACTCACTCACTCAAATACCAATCTGTATTCCAATTGTGCAAGTGTAAGTGGCTGTCTACCTGCCCCAATCCTCTATCCAATTTCGTCCCAGAATGTTCAAAGGGAGCCATATCCAGGAAAGCGACGGCCATGGAAAAATGTTAACGGTGTTCTGAGCCAGATGATCCATCAACACCCTTGCTGCGTGAGGGCTGCTGGCGTTGTTGACGTGTCAAAACTGGCCCCAAATATGGCCATCGGCAGCGGATTTCAGCAGCCTGAAGACGACGCCTAATTGTATCACTGGACACTGCTCCACTTGACCCAAGAACTAAGGCTACTGTTACTGTTTCTGCTTGAGTTCGGTTCTTTAGATGAGTTGTCACTCGTTGCCGTCCGGTATGGGGATGATCAGCAGCAGATTGCTGATGACGTTGAGCAAGTCGTATAATGGGGTAAGATGACAGCCCAATTGCCTAGCTACAGCAGTTGCTGAGCTATAGTTTGGCATGAAATGCATGTGGACCCGGTTTTTTGTAAATATCTCTTCATCCAATGAACCAATCGATCTCAAACTGTGCAAGTGGATGTTTTGTCAGACAACCTAATCACATTGTAAATCACCGATTTTATGCATTTGTATTAAAGAATCTGTCTATGTAACTGTCAACAAAATAAACAGCAGACTGCAGAGTGCTTGCAGAGGGAGGGAGCCAATGACCTGTAACAGCGGCAGTGTTGGGCCATAAAGGTAAATGCACGTGCAGTTCATGATAGTTACCTGTGCACTGCACAGTGATAGACCGTTTGGATCATTCACATTGACTACTTCTAGCTGTCATCATGACAGCTTATTCAGATGATGCTAGACGTTTAATTAGAAATGTGTTGAATTTTTTTTAAAAAGAGAGCAAACGTAGCAAACCGATTTATAAGGTGTCGGATTACATGAAACGTACAACTTTTGCTCTTCGCATGAAAAAGAACATCGCGCTAAAAATTGTGAAAAATAAACCAACAACCAATAAACAAAACCTTGTACAAAAAGGTAGGCATCCAAAGTTAGATTCTTTGACATCAGGGTCAACAGAGATGTCATTCGCCGGCTATTTGCTAGAAATGAACACCTCTTCATACCTGTCACGTGCATAGCTGACCTACATTGACGAACGTTGACCTTTATGACCCAACACTGCCGCTGTTACAGGTCATTGGCTCCCTCCCTCTGCAAGCAAAACGCTTTGCGGTCTGCTGTTTATTTTGTTGACAGTTACATAGACAGATTCTTTAATACAAATGCATAAAATCGGTGATTTACAATGTGATTAGGTTGTCTGACAAAACATCCACTTGCACAGTTTGAGATCGATTGGTTCATTGGATGAAGAGATATTTACAAACTAACGGGTCCACATGCATTTCATGCCAAACTATACCTCCGCGTAACTTTTCAATGGCCACTCCCTCTGCTTAGTCATTTGTCTAGGCATCATTTGTGTGGCGTGTACACCTCCTAGTGTCAATACTGAACTGTTTTTGACACAAACCTTTATAAAGAATACCTCAGAGGAAATGCATGATTTCCATCCAGAACCATCGATGCATTTGTTAAAATTATGATTTTGCTCCACTGTTGGTGTGTTTGCAAGCGCATGGTTCATTATGAACGTCAAATTGCATGACATCATCTCATCTGGGATCATTACGCCACTTTACCATGAACGCTCCATAAACATGAACGCTTACCTTCATGAAATTTCATTTTTTGAAACTTGCGTTTCTTTTGCTGTTCAGTATATTAAGGATGTAGCTACCATGCAGTCTCACTGTCACTATAAAAGAAATAGGAGGGTCAGCCTCAAAAGCAAAACCTGGGATCGGGCTTGGGGATAGAGATATAAGCTAAGATAAAATAATCCTTTAGAATTATACTGGGAGGTACACGGCACGTCATAACAATTTACAAACAAGAAGACAAAGTCATCAATATCCCCATAATGGCAAAATACTCTTCATGATTATGTCTACGAAGTTATGATTATGTCAAATATTTAGGTGTGTATATAGAAAAGTGGAAGGAGAGTATTGAAAGGTTTTAAAGTTCTGCTCCAGAAAGCAGCACTATCACCAATTTCAGGCTAAGTCAAACTTGTTGCCATGGAAATGCCAAAATATTTTATTCAGAATTCCAAAACTACCAAAAGGCACCAGCACACCACCAGATCCATGAATGTGCCAAGTTTGGTGAAGAAATATTGAATGGTTTTAGAGTTCTGTCTCGGAAAAGACAAATGTGCACGGACGACGCACTTGACGGAGTCCATTTTAATACCCCCATAAAAGCGCGTTGCGGGGATAATAATATCCAGTCCTGTCGATCTGCGGGTGGTCATGTCACCTATATACTACGATGCGTTTCTATGGTTTTCGGGTATCATACTCTCTTACATATCTCAAAATCAACTTTATGAAAGAAAGACACGTAAGATGTTAATCAGTAGATGAGACATAGTCAACACACATGGAAAAGCACAATATATCTTTGAGATGACCCCTTGTGCAATTGTGTAAATTTTAGGGATACAGAGTAACAGCCTAAAAACAGTTTTTTTCTATTTCCGACAGTACTATAGAGCTTTTGTTGGGTCTAGTGCCATCCGGGATTCAAACCCACACCCTGAGAATCAGGCACCTAATCACCAGCACACAAAGTCAGCCGCCTAACCCGTTCAGCCACCGCGGCTTCGACGAATGGAAGCCGGATAACTGGTACTCTAGACTTTAGACTTTGTGTACCCCTCTGCTAAGTGTAAATTGGCATGGCTCCCACATCCGAAAGCTATGAATACACAATGCCATTTACAAAGTGGTCAAATGTAACATACGTTATATTTGGGATTATACTTTCTTAATAGGGAGCCGTGGCATTAAGGATTGCTAGATCAAGGTTTAGATGTAGCCATTTTAATATTGCTGTTGAATGTGGCCGGTATAATGGAATTAAATATACGCCCTTTAGAAAAATCAGAGGTCAGCATTATATACTGGACAAAAATAGTTAGGGATATATGAAAATTGTGAAATTATGAATAATTATCTATTGATTCATTGACACACTGATAAAATATCAATCATAACAAGAAGACAAAGTCATCAATATCCCCCGCAATGGCAAAATACTCTTCATGATTATGTCTACGAGTTATGATTATGTCAAATATTTAGGTGTGTATATAGAAAAGTGGAAGGAGAGTATTGAAAGGTTTTTAAAGTCCTGCTCCAGAAAGGAGCACTATCACCAATTTGAGGCTAAGTCAAACTTGTTGCCATGGAAACGCCAAAAATATTTAATTCAGAATTCCAAAACTAGCAAAAGGCACAAGTACATCACCAGATCTATCTATGTGCCAAGCTTGGTGAAGAAATATTGAATAGTTTTAGAGTTCTGCTCCGGAAAAGAGCACAACCACCAATTTCAGTCAAAGTCGAACTTGTTGCCATGGAAACGCCAAAAATATTTAATTCAGAATTCCAAAACTACCAAAAGGCACAAGTACATCACCAGATCCATGTATGTGCCAAGTTTGGTGAAGAAATATCGAACAGTTTTAGAGTTCTGCTCCAGAAAAGACAAATGTGCACGGACGGACGGACGGACGGAGTCCTTTTTAATCAAAGCGCTATGCGGGGGATAAAAATACCAATATCCCTAACTTATTTTTTCCAGTATATATATAGAAAATGATTATCATGTACTAATCATCTGTAATGTATATGATAAACTTAGAATTAATTGCATAACAAACGTATACTCATATACTCATTATTCATTTGTAAATCTTTTGCAAAACAAAAATGATGATGTCAAAAACAATGTTGGCTTATACTCATATCATGTGCAGATTTGTCCTTAATTCCAGGATGTAGAGCTGCAAAGTCAAACTGTGCACTCTCATTAAATACAATGTCATTTGCCTGTAGCATGGGCAAAACGCCTCTTTACTGAATAAATACTGTCTGTCTGTCAACGACAAAACGACATACTGTAATGCTATAAATTGTATCAAAAAGAAAATAGAATCCCTGACTTTGTAACCTAATTTTGAGATTGCTATTATCAGAACCAAAACATACATGTTAAGACTTAAAATGTAGAAAATAGAATTGACATGTATAATTAGTAGCACTTACTGCCAAATACTTACGCTCCTGATATATCGTAATACCAGAATCGCAATACGAGTATATTGCAATACAATTTATTTGTCAATACACAGCCCTACAGCACACCCATAGTTAAAAAAAACCACTGCATTTAAATATGTCCTTATGTGAACATAATTTGATCTACCATCGCCATGTTCGGGAAAAGCAATACATACACAATTCATAATGGATATGCAAAAACATTGTGCTATGAAATTCACTCATATCATACAAGACGTGTACCAGCACGTGTACCATCTGTTGAAGTGCTGGCACACGTGCATTACACTGAACACCTACCTACCATATTGGATTAGATCCCTACCCCTACCTCTCAGGTAGGAATGCATTACACTGAACACCTACGTACCATATTGGATTAGATCCCTACCCCTAAAGGTTTCACAGGTGTCGGAGCATATCATTTGCATAGATCACATTTCTCATAAATGTCTTCAAGCAACCTTGAAACTTATCATCCCATAGGGCGCATCCTTCAACAGATTTTCAACTTAGATTCACCTGGATGTGCAAACTGGCGATGAAGTTTGACTAAGGTCTTGTATTGTTCATCTGTATTCAACTCTGCTATCTTACTACATTCACATCTACCTCAGTCACTTCTGAGTTTCCGAGAGGCAAACAGTAATGTCCAGATTAAATTTCATTTAATACCCTTTTCTTGCCTAATACTTCAGCTGAATCATTTTCAATATCAAGCTTTACACTGGCTTTTTTCATGGAATTCTTTGACCAAAGCAAAGGAATATCTGACATCACCACGTCTGTATTCATCTTCACATCAACACCTGCTATTGATATCGGTATTGTGTAAGAGCCGACTGATTTCAATTTCTCACCTCCACCAAACTTGAAAACCTTTTCCCCTGGCTGTGATTTCACTTGTTTCATCTGTTCTTATTCCAATGTCATTAGGTATGTCCATCCATTCCTGCCCACAAACAGTGCTCGAGCATGCAGAATCCAGTACTATGGCATGTTGTGCTTCTTTACTTAGAGTTCTCATATTGTCTTTCAAACCTCCTGTATACAACACAATGTTTACAAGTTCAACATCCTCTACCTCTTCTACCATCATTGCTGTCTTTTCAAACTTAAGTGGACAGTCACGAACTAAATGTCGATAGGAACCGCAAACAAACACCCAAGTGAGCGACCATCTCTTCCAGTCATATTCATGTCCCTTTGATCCTTTCTCCTTCCTGTAAAGCACGCATTATTACCACCACGATTATATCCATGACTGTTCCTAAACCCTTGATAACCACTCGTTCCTCTTCCAAAGTTAAAATAATTTGGTCTTCTAGCACCATGTGCAGTGTAGACCTCATCAACTGAATCATCTGTGAATCCTCATGTGTCTCTGCAAATTACTTGATTGTATAAATTTTTTCCCACATTCAACACATTCATAGGGCTTGATTCCACTGTGAATCCTCATGTGTGTCTGCAAATTACTTAATTGTGTAAATTTTTTCCCACATTCAACACATTCATAAGGCTTGATTCCACTGTGAATCCTCATGTGTGTCTGCAAATTACTTGAATGTGTAAATCTTTTCCCACATTCAACACATTCATGAGGTTTGATTCCACTGTGAATCCGCATGTGTTTCTGAAGAGTACATGAATGTGTATATTTTTTCCCACATTCAACACATTCATAAGGCTTGATTCCACTGTGAATCCTCATGTGTCTCTGCAGAACACTTAAATATGTAAAAAATTTCTCACATACAACACATTCAAAAGGCTTGATTCCACTGTGAATTCTCATGTGTGTCTTCAGACTATCGGAGTGTTTAAATGTTTTCTCACACACAATGCATTGATGAGGTTTGCTGTGAATCTTCATGTGTGTCTGAAGATGACCAGAAAGTGTAAATTTTTTCCCACATTCAACACATTCATAAGGCTTGATTCCACTGTGAATCCGCATGTGTGCCTGCAGAGCACTTGAATATGTACATTTTTTCTCACATACAACACATTCATAAGGCTTGATTCCACTGTGAATTCTCATGTGTTCCTGTAGACTTCTTGAATATTTCAGTTTTTTCCCACATTCAACACATTCATAAGGCTTGATTCCACTGTGAATCTTCATGTGTTGCTGCAGATGATCTGATTGTGAAAATTTTTCCCACATTCAACACATTCAAAAGGCTTGATTCCACTGTGAATCCTCATGTGTCTCTGCAGATTAGCCAAACGTGTAAATGTTTTCTCACACACAATGCATTGATGAGGTTTGATTCTACTGTGAACCTTCATGTGTTCCTGCAGACAACTTGATTGTGTAAATTTTTTCTCACAAACAACACATTCATAAGGTTTGATCCCACTTTGAATCTTCATATGTGCCTTCAGACTACTTGATTGTGTGAACTTTTTGCCACATTCAACACATTCATAAGACTTGATTCCACTGTGAATTTTCATGTGTGCCTGCAGGTGAACTGATTGTGTAAATGTTTTCTCACACACAATGCACTTATGAGGCTTCATTCCACTGTGAATCTTCATGTGTTTCTGAAGATTGCCTGAATGTATACAGAGCTTGTGCCTTTTAAGGTCACCCGATTTAGAAAATGTTTCCGAGCTCTCACAACATGTTTATGAGACTGCTTTGTTGGACTACTATGTTTTTCAGGGTCTCCAAAACATGTTTCCAGGGTTTCAATAACAGGTTCTTTCATAAGATCACCTATTTCAAGGTTCCAATAACAGGTTCTTTCTTGAGATCACCTATTTCAAGGTTCCAATGATGGGTTCTTTCATGAGATCACCTATTTCCAGGGTTCCAATAATGGGTTCTTTCTTGAGACCACTTATTTCCAGGGTGTCAATAAAACATATTTTTTTTAGATCTCCTGTTTTCAGCAAACCCCTTTTGCATTTGTTTCAGTGACAGAGAAAACATTCTGTGGATTGTTTCAACTTCCATCTTTACTCTGTGGATCTTATGGTGTTTACTGAAAACATAAGAAACACTGTCACACTCTCATAACATCTAGGGTAGGGGCCATACACAATATGATGGAATGACACGTAGCATGATATCAAACCTGATACTATAAACATGTGTTCCCACACACAACACTATTCAACTTAGCGGAGTGATTTTCAATATTCAGTGTGGAAAATGCCAAAGGCGGGATGTATATTTATCCTCTCTATAACCTCACAATGAATTGTATTCAGCTGAGTAATATCCATAAGTTTACCGATTTTACATATTTAAGGCTATGACTAGTTTATCATATTATCAAAACAAAAAACTAAATAGATGTCTTTCAAAGTGGTGTGCAGCCAAATGATATACTCCATTGTGTAAAATTGGTTAAAAGCAATGAATATACAGATCTTTATTCCATTTAGACCCAATATTGTCATCAGTATTGTCATTTGTATGGATATGCAAAAATGTTGTGCTATGAAATTCTCTCATATCATTCAAGATGTGTGCTAGGTATTACCGCTTTTCATATGATTTGCATTGCAATATTTTTTCTGAGAACCGGGTATTCAAATGGGTTAAGAACATATATTATTATGATTGTCCTTATGGTTTACATTAAAATCTACACAGACCTTCATTCACAACGAATGTTTTCCTTCGTTATTCAATGTAACATACATTATATTTGGGACTACAATTTCCTTGTATAAAGTACAGATTCTAGAACTTTTGTTGGGTTGAGTGCCATCCGGGATTCAAACTCACACCCTGAGAATCAGGCACCTAATCACCAGCACACAAAGTCAGCCGCCTAACCCATTCAGCCACCGCGGCTTCGACAAATGGAAGACACAATGCCATTTACAAAGTTGTCAAATGTAACATATATTATATTGGGGATTATACTTTCTTAATAGGGAGCCATGGCATTAAGGATTGCTAGCTTACAAATTAATTAATTCATAATACTATTTGAAATTAAGATTTATTTGCTAAAAGGTTTGCTCACTTGTTTCCTGTGATAAGAATGTTTGTATAATATTTTGATGCATTGTTTATTTTTCATTTCCACCAAAATAGGAGACAGTTACAAGTCTAAGGAATTTCTCTATAGAGTTCCAAAGAACACCATCAGCAAGCTAGTTCCTGAAGTTTGCAAGGCCATATACAGCACATGAAAGGAAGATTACACGAAGGTATGTTGATTACTTAAATTGGAAATGCTACAATTAGTTTCCTTTATGAAAGAGATGTCTGACAGTTTGTCAACTTTAACGAACTGTTTGATTGGCATTTAGAAGTTGGTGACTAATACCATTGCCCCAGCCGACAACGGCAAGGCCACAATCATCCTAAACACACAACATGGTCAACAAGATCCTCCAAGACCCCACCACATACCGCCAGATCAAGAAAGACCCCACCGCAAAACTCAACACGAACATAAAGCAAGTCTCAAACAACTGAAAGAGAGGTACGAAATCAGCCAGCAACTATATTACAAGCTAACTACATCCAACCCACAGCCACCGTATGCCAGAGCCACGATAAAAATCCACAAGACCCACCCAAGGCCAGACTGCTCGTGTGCTCTAGGGACACTGTGTTCTACAGCACCGCCCAACACCTAACGGAAACCCTTGCCCCACTCGGAAAAACAGCAGACTCCTTCATCTCTGACTCCATGGATTTCTGTACCAAACTCCGGAAAATAACCGAAGCAGACCAGATCCTGAGTTACGATGTTCTTGACCTCTTCAACAAGTGTCCCCGTAGATGAAACTCTCCAAATCCTCCGCCGACGCATCTCTGAATTAGAAATCCCCCTTAACACCAACCTCACCACTGACTCCATCATTGCCCTGACCTCTGCCTGCATCACCTCCACTTACTTCACCTGGGGAGACGACTACTATGAACAAATCCACGGCCTGCCCATGGGCTCCCCCCTGTCCCCAATACTCACAGAAATCTACATGACCTCCTTCGAACAGCAAGCACTTAGCACCTCAACCATCCAACCAACCTGCTGGTACAGGAAGGTCAATGACATGTTTGTCATTCTTCGTCAAGACCAAGACCCAGCAGCCCTCCTGCAACACCTCAACCAACAGCACCCCCGGGTCCAGTTCACCGTAGAAACAGAATCCAAAGGTCAACTTCCCTTCCTTGATGTCCTCGTAACCAGAACCCCAGCTAACAAAATCCTAACCAGTGTCTATAGAAAGCCAACCCACTCTGACCAATACATTCATTTTGACTCCAACCACCCCTTGAGAACCAAAACTGGCATTATCTCCACCCTCACCAGACGAGCCATCAACCTCTCCTCCTCCAGTCCCACTACAGAAATACAGCACCTCCGCCATGTCTTCACCAAGTTCAACCACTACCCGTCAAAGCTAGTCGATGAAATTATCAGCTCCACACTCCACCCAACAAGAAAACCGGCCTCCAACAAACCTGAACCAGCACCTATTCGTATCTCTCTCCCCTTCATAGGGAAGACCTCCCACCACATCTCCTGAAGCGACAAGCAGGCATCGAAACCTACTTTACCACCTCTACACCACTACATAACCCTACTGAAAGCTAATGGCAGGAACACCTCTAAACGACAACATCAACCCAAAGGTGTTGTCTACAAAATCATCTGTGACTGTGGCGAGGCCTATGTAGGCGAAACCTCCCGGCCCAAGAACACTTATCATCTACCACTAAATCAGACAGAAAATCAGCAATATCAGACCACATCATCAACTGTCCCAATCACAACATAATTTGAAACAATGTAGAGATATTATCGAAAAACCACCAGGACTTCACCAACAGAAAACTTGCAGAGGCAGTTCAAATCCGGAGACACAAGCCCTCAATCAACAGAGACCAGGGATATCTCATCCCTTCTGCATACAATGAACTGATAAAAACAACAGATTAGAGCACTACAGCTATCATTGCTAATTAATCTCATCAGCCATGTATATTTTGTTTCTGCCTCTAGGACCATTAGCTTCCTCCTATTGTCAGACATTATTACCACCGTGCCTTGTTGTTGTAAATCCCCTTGATTCATACCTACATGTTGTTATTACTTAATCCCTGTTGATGTATATAAGTCTGTTCTGTGCTGTAGTACTTCACTCTTGCTTGACAACGGTATAAGAATCCATACCGAAACGTCGCATCATATATAATAAAAGAAGTTGTTATCTTTAAAGAATCTTACTTTCTAACTTTAACAAAAAAATTATAGTGGAGAAGAAAGACATTGGGTAATGAAATTTTTATTAGTTAAAGATATGTAGACAAAACAATGATACATCAATGATTATGAACAATAATTAAAAGAAGGAAATATGATAACAAATAAAAAGTATTGTCCTTGCCTCATTTATTTGTAAAAATATATTATAATTATAAACAACTGTAATATATTTCAACATGATAATAATATGAATTAAAACATAAGTCATTCAAATACAGGTAAAAAATAATATTGGGGAACAGAACTTTATTACTCTCGGACCGATACCATCGGCATATGAGGTACAAAGGACAATAAATATTGTAGCGGAATAGTAGTTTGCCGGAAGTTTAAACAATTTGCATGATATATTTACAGAATTTACTGAGATTGGGTTTTTTCATAACAGATACATTTTCATATGTAAATGACAATGGAATTTTCCACCTCTGAGCCT